CAGGGTCTCTCCGAACAAGGAAGAGTACAAGCAAGTGGAGACAGCGCCTAGTCCTTGGGTGGCCTGGTGGGCCTGCTGTCCCCGCAGAGAGGGAGCTCCCTCCCCCAGCGCTGAATAAAGAGCCTTTTGCCGGCCCAGAGGCACCAGCTCGGGCTCGGCTGCTTCCTGCAGAAAGCGCCGGCTGTTTTCCCCTATTTGCTATTCACTTGGAGTCCCGCGAGGCAAGGCAGAGGGGTGGAGACCCCTACAGCGCCCAGGGCCTCCTCTGCACCACCGCGGAGCTCCAACGGGCGCCAGCCGCTCTCCCCCTAGAACTTCGGGGGCTGCAAACGGTGCCCACGTGGTGGGGAAGCCACCCCCCTCCGGCCCGCGCCTCCTCTGCCCTCCCTCCTTTCTTCTCTGGCCCTCGGGTTGGCTGAGACTTGCCTATACGGCACCTGGAGTTAGGGGGATGTCGCGGGTGAAGGGGGTCGTTGGCCCAGCCTGAAAGGAGGCTCTTGTGGACGCCTGGAACCGGCTGCGCACCGGGCAGCTAGGGTTCCTACAGGCCCTCAAGGGTCCGCGGCTGCCCGGCCCAGCCCAAGACCAAAATGGCTGTTCGCGGTGCTTCGCGCTGCTTCCCGGCGTCCGCCCCTCGCCATCCGCCCACCTGCCCCGCTGGGCCTGGGGCGCGGCGCGCAGGCCCTTCGCCACCAAGCCTCGGACGCCCCGTGGGGCTTGACTATCCAGACAGGGGGCTCGGACCCCGAGACCAGAGCAGGCTGCGAGGGGTGATCCCTCATCACACGCGCACCAGACCACGCGCACCCAAGGCCTGAGGATGCGAGCCAGCGGCGCTTCCCCCGCCAACGCCGGATCCCGGCTGCGCCGCCCCGGTCCTCGACCCTGGCTGGGCTTTCGGGCCCCAGGACCCCGGTCCCTGGCTCCCAACCCGCAACCCCGGCCGGGCCGCTCGTACCTGGTCTGGGCGCGGGCGGCGGTGCGGCGGCAAAGGGAGAGCGAGGATGGAGTGCGCCGCGGAGAGGAGGCCGGGCCGCTGCCGTCTCTCTGGCTCCCT